GTATGAATCATCCAGTTCCTTTGCCTCTGAAATATAAAGCTATACAAATAGTTTACGGTGTTGCCGCCACCACCATCAGATTGTATTCTGTATGCCTCGTATTCTGCTACTTGCGTCGAATGCGATTTAAAAAAGAACAACTGAAATTAGCTCTCTTACCTAAACCTAGTCGATGGGCTTTCAACGTAACAGTAGACAATGAAACGTAATAGCTACTACTAGCTTCGGTAATTTTTCTATTTTGTTTCGCTGTTATTAAATTTCTGATCTTTATTAACTCGCGTGCTCTTATATATATGTTCAAATGAGGATAACGAAATCAGAGATCTATATTTTAATTAGATTGATGTTGTTTACAAGTGTTTGTAAAATACATCGATGCTGTGCAAAACTTTTGTAGATAATCTTTAACTTCATGTCAATTGTAGGCCAATTTATGTTCGATAAGTCATGAACATCACACTTGATATTAGTGTGTAAGATGGAGTGATTAGCCTGCTATTTCTAATTCTCATTTTGTTTTCATAATTTGTAACATAAACCCTCCCCCTTTTTCACCGTTTGCAGTATGTTTTTTTATTTCTGTAAAGCAAATATATACTCAGACCTGCTAATTCAATCAATTCTGCGTTAATATTCATCAGTTTTGGAACTAAGTACTATTTGTTGTGCTTCCACGTTAACCAAAAGAAAATTGGATATTTACACAGAAAATCATGACGAACACCTTCTATCAAAAGATGGAAAAAATAACATTTTGGGAGGGCAACTTATAAATGTTAATATCTAAAAAACATCTCCAAAGATCACTTGTATCGAATCTTATGTAAAAATTCCGATTTTGGAACTTTTAAAAGGTCAAGGTCACTATTATTTAACAGCTGAATGAAAATTGTAAATGTGCACCCTATAAGTACAAATGTCAATCTCGAACCATATTTGACAATAAAATTATCAAATTAGTCCTAAATATAGAAACTCCGATTTTGGAACTTTTAAAAGGTCAAGGTCACTATTATTTAACAGCTGAATGAAAATTGTAAATGTGCACCCTATAAGTACAAATGTCAATCTCGAACCATATTTGACAATAAAACTATCAAATTAGTCCTAAATATAGAAACTTTAGTTATAATCCTTTGAATTATTCGAGTTTATTTTGCTATAAACGCAAATATATAGGGGTGGCCAGATGTCTAAACGTGACTCTACGTTTTCCTTGCAATTTTAGATTTGACCTTTGACCCAAATTTAAGAAAATCGTGACCACTGTAGACAACGACGACATCAATATTTCGACGTGGCTTGTTCTCCTCTTTCCAATGATATAAAATATAGCCGTGTGTTATTCCGTTAACCCAAATCGATCAAATTTGTTGACTGGGCACCCTACTATAGTTCTTACGATTAAATATTGAAAATTCTGACTCTTGTCACCGGGCTTATATAGACTCAATAAACGATTAATGATTAAATATTATATAACGAAATTAGCGAAATATCATCAACAGTTGCTAATTACTGTTTACGATACTGTTGAAACTGGCCATTCCTCTTTAAGCAGATTGATGATGACAGAATACTTGCTTACGAATTTTTAATATATACATATTTGCCAATATAGACATAAGTGTTTCTCGTTTCTTATAAAGATTAGACCGTTGGTTTTCCTGTATGAATTGTTTTACACTGGTCATTTTGGGGCCCTTTATAGCTTGCTGTTCGGTGTTAGCCAAGGCTCCCTGTTGAAGGACGTACTTGGACCTATAATTGTTAACTTTTTATATATTGTGACTTGGATGGAGAGTTGTCTCATTGGCACTCATACCACATCTTCTTATTCATATATACATACGAAATGACTAATCGTAAAGCGCTATGGCTGCTATTTATCTACTGATACCACAAGACATGTTAATTGCGTGAGAAAGGTTGAAAGAATAATTACCATACTCCTGGAATTATAAATAAACCTGTATTTCCATTTGATGGAGAAAATACTAAACGTATACCATATTTAAACAGGTCCATGCTTCGATTAAAGGAAACGTGTAAACCAGATTGTTAAATTTTAAATCTTATAATATTTTATTTATTTACATGAATTCACTGAATTAACGCGAATACATGTTCTTAATCATTGTTAAAAGGTTGATGGGTTGGGAATCGGATGGGCACTCAAATACAATAAGTCGAAGACAAATACTACTGTGACACAGCCATTCCATAACGTTCAATCAAGTTATGATGCCTTCCGTAAACTTTGAAGACTTCAACTTTACCATTCAAAATCATTGGTTCAATAGCTTCCTTGTAAGCAGCAACCCTTATACAAAAAAATGAATATGTAGGGTTGCTCGAATGTTGCTTTACACAAATCGCTAAATGTTCTTACATGAAAATACAAAACTAGGGTACACTAGCAACATTTACGCTAGTTGATACAGCCTAGTAACGGCTACTTTCTGCCGCGTCTTTTACTACTCTCTTCATCCCAAGATATACAGTATGAAATCTTCTTCTCATGTTGTCCATCTGTCGTCAAGCATTCATTTTTACACAGGATGTAGATTTCGTAACTTTCCGCACTGTCATGATATTCGCTATGTATTGTTAATTTTTCATCTTTTATTTGATTGTAAATATAGTTTAGGTCTCTCCTATTGATAACACTAAAGTTACTCAATTTACTGCACCAGATGCATGTTTGGACAATGGACAATTAATGTCTCTTAAGGGATACTCAGGCCAAGTATATGAAAATCTAAACAGAATACAAACACAAAAGAGCTGATGATTTAAACAAAAAAGGAAAAAAAATATGACCAAAACCGGACAAGGAATCAAAGAGTTAGTCACTCTTCCCAACATATAGATTTAATCTTTTGAAAATAGTAATTAGCGATAAGCTGTCACCCAACCTCATTCAAACCTCAATGTTCTTTACAGATTAAAGCTACTCGAAAAGTGGTCAAAAAAGCTATATATCTATTTGAGGAGCAGGGTCTGCTTAGTAAATAATACCCTTTCGGAGCACATGAGCTCAACCCCGATTTGTGTTGGGGTTCGCGTTACTAAGTCTTAAGTTTTCTATGTTGTGATTTGTATACTTTGTTTGTCGTTTGGTCTCTCTTGGTTTTTTTCCATGGCGTTGTCGGTTTTTTCCGACTTATGAGTTTGAATGTCCCTTTGATATCTTTAGCATGTCTTTTATGCTTAATCTGTTTGTCAGTCATTTATCATGTCGTCTTTGCTGTACAGAATGTGGTTACAGTAACTTACAAATTTAAAACATTTCAATCATCTATGCTTCATCCTCATAGCAAAACACACACCCTGATGCATAGAAAAAACCCATAAAGGTACCAGGCTTATGTTTAAGTTTGCCACACGCTCATTTCTTCTTGATAAGACACATTTAGTGGCACTCGAATGAAATCCGTTGGAAAACCAAATCAATGGAGAATTGAAAACCAAATATTCCTAAAAGTTTTGCTATTTCTACTAATGTCATCTATGCCTACTGGTAGAAAAAAAACCTAAGTGTATCGAACAGTAAAATTATCGCATCAATGATATCTAATGTTCGTTGTGAATGCTGACTACTGAACTGGAACACTATTCAGAGTATTTATCCTGCTACGATAAAGACGTTTTAGATTCCGTTCCATGCAAATACAAGTCTACACAACCCTTTATTTAAATTAACCATCCACCTTCATTCTCTCCTGGCACTCCAGCTTCCTTCACCAATAAAAACTGGCCGCCACGAAATAGCACAATAGTGCTGAAAGTGGCGTCAAACACAAGTTAATCATTCAATCAACCAATCAGTCATTCTAAATTATGCGTTTTTTTTCATTTAGTCATTCAAGATAAGTTTAAAAATTATTGATATTGATTGATTGATTGTTGGTTGCTTAACGTCCAGTGGCAATCTTAATATTGAACTAAGGCACAAATTTTGGAATCCTTGATAAATTTGTAAAACTCACTGTAACGCAAGTACAGTCTGAATTCTAGAAAACTGTAAATAAATACACAAACGCAACAGCCACACAACACGAAAACGTCTATACGTATCATAACGAATTCAGGGTGCACGAATTACGATTATGGAATAACCATAAAAATAAGCAAAGTTTGACAATTAGCAAAGGTTGTTTCATCTTATGGTCAAGGCATTTTTGTTTTTATAAAAAAATTCGTACATTTTGTATCAAGCTCATTTAAGATACTTAATTGGAGAAGTACTCATGTTACAACATGCGTACATATGCCGACTCTGTTATTTCATAACCCTGATCCTACGAGTATTAGTTTGTGTTATATATTGCATTGATCATATTGCTCATCATGTACTTATTCCTTTGATATCAATTTTGGGGTATGATTGTAAACCAAGAAAAGTACTTCGGAAGGAACACAATTATAAAGTGTTATTTTCTTTTTTTCTCTCTGTTCAGTTAAAATGCAACTCAACGTCAAAAGATCTACCCGCGATCGTAAAAATGGCAATACTTCAACCATTTTTTTTGGTTTTATATGCTATGTAAACAAATAGACGTTTTGAATATCTATAATATATCTATACGACCACCCATGGTTTTTGGTTGAATTCGTGTTGCTCAGTCTTAAGTTTTCTATGTTGTGTGTAGTAAACTGATGTTTATCTTTGGTCGTTTTTCGTATTCTGCCATGGCTTTGTCAGTTTGTGGTCTACTTATGAGTTTGAAAAATCCCTTAGGTATCTTCCGCCTCTCTCCTATAATAGATATGATAGTGTTTTCGACCTTTTGAAGAAACATGAACACTCTGTTAGTTGGTATAGTTGTATAGAGCCAGTATACATGTCCATCAAAATCTTTTATCGTCATTTGATAGCCGGAATCATATACAGAGACAGAAACCTGCAATTCAATTTGGTTAATAATACATACAAGGGAAGTCTCTGCATGGACTTTCTGTATGGTATATACAAACATAACATAAGCATGATATAATACTAGTATATAATCTGTTTGCAAAATTAGTAGCATATATGATACTTTGTGATATAAAATATTATAGCTTTGTTGATGAATAGGTCTTGTCAACAGTCGATACAACAATTTCTTCATCTGAGCGATTATTATCATTCATTGACTTTCCACACATGCAAGATCCTTGGTCAAATAGTTGTTGAACCTCCTCCAACTTTAGGCCTTTTGTTTCTGGCAGAGCGATGAAAATAAATATCAATGCTATAGTGACAATACCAACAAACAACCAGTATGTACCTAAATAAAATAATCCGTCTAACTATATTATCGTCACAAGGTAAAATAACTTGTTTTCATCGTAACAATCTCATAAACAGATTATAATGCTGTAAACATTGATAACTTCCTGTCCGAGTTGACACATACATTTTGTTTTTTGGCTCAACGATACTTTCAGATGAGCAAAATAGTCATTTATTTAGTTTGGTGCAGAAATACATTATCAAAAGCAAACGATTTAACCCTTAATGTTACTGCTTCATCATTTAACAAGAACCCAAACATTTCACACTGTATACATTACAAAAACTCCTGTTTATTATTTTTTTTCTCTATTGTATTTTTAACCTTTTTCATATTTATATATTTATTACAGAGCATGCCAGTAGTTAAATTTATGCATTGTTCATTAAGTGTATTAATTGTGTACTAGGAGACAGATTTGTAAAAGCAAATGTGATTGTTTCCGTATCCTAATTATTTATTTCATTTTTATCATATCGTTAATTGATGATATAGTTTAAACTAACATTGATAATGTAAAATATTGTAATTTTCAACTTACTTTTGGAAAACAGTGAATTATGCAAGACGTTTACCGTAATTAAAAGTCACCTTATATTCTAATCGTTGGCCTATATTGTAGGGATATTTCACTAATATTGAGAATATTGGCCTGAGCAGTACATCATATTGCATGCACGAACTCGCTAGTGAAAAATACTATACTGCGAGGGACAATATACATTAAATTAATATTATTCCAATAGCTCTTTTAATAATATTGTACCAAGTTGTTTAGCACATTGATGATAATTCGTCCCATTCCTGCAGCTCTGATATCTGCAGTTGGGATTTCTTGCTCTTGCTTATCTCGTTTGCTTGCGTGCAATTATCGTTTAACTCGGAACATCTTTAGTGCGTACTAAAATTGAGGCGAACGTTCAGATTGCAATATCGATTAAGGAAATATATCGGAAATATATCGGAAATTCTCTTTTCGTCAGGTATATTTATAAAAATATCAGCAAATATTTCATTTTTATCTGAAAAGGAATTCTACATTAAATATTTGATATTATATTTCAACTTGAATTATTCAATTGATATTCATGTAGTAATGATTTGAATGCAGCGTGTAAGTATGAGTTATATCAATAACAGACAATCATATTATTCATATAAATACACAATGCTAAATTATATTTTTGAACAATTGTATAGGTGTTTTCCGTCAAACAGACTATAGTTGCATCCTGCTAGTATTACATCACTTCCATATTTTATGGAGTTCTTATATTCAGCTTAGTTGTTTTAATGCGCTCGTGTTTAACGGAAACGATGTGAAGCAGGTATTCATTCATAAAACAGAATTCCTACACACAATAGGCAAGCCAAAAGCAAAATTTTTATTGATGTGCCTAATCTCAAAGTCATAATAAAGCCTTTAATGCAAAGCAAAAGCACATTGCGACAAGTTCAAGACACCGATCCTGTTTTAGAGCAGAATTCTTCGATAGATTTCAATAATCCTTCACCTTTGGATTGAACTTACCAAAATGTTGCGAGATAATATCTACAAACTATAGATTATAACGGGCGAGAAATTAAACATATAAAGCTCGAAAATTTCAGTTTTTGATAATGACAATGCTCTTAACAGATGTACGCGAATTCAGAAAAGCAATTTGTAAGCTCCAACTTGATGCACTTTGTTAACAAAAACAAGACGATACACTGAAGGCAATTCATTTCTTTACTGAAAATTTACGAACAACCAATACACTAGATTTTAGTTTTAACTTACCATATGCGGTGATATTTTCAATTAACGTCAGAAATGTCAAAGAAACTAGTAAATTAAAAATCCAATTTGTTGATGTCGCCATGGCACTACATGCACTTCTTGCCCAGAGAGGATAAATCTCCGAATTTATTGTCCAAGGAACCGGTCCTAAACCTATTAATGTATATACAAAGAGAATATTATTAGTTTTGAAAAAAACTGTTACGCTTCGGTTATTATCATACGAATCATCGTCTTCATACAACTACTAGATTGTCATTATGCTTTAAGCTACACCGCACTTCAAACTTTGAACAACAAAACAGCTGATTCGACATTAGTGGTAGGTAGTAGCGCGTCTCTTTAAAATGGCTGATTGATTGATTGTTGGTTGCCAGACATCCAGATGCGAATATTTCATGCATGTTCAGGACGACCATAAAATGATGTCCAGCCAACAGCTTTTGGGCGAAACAGGACAAATATTCAATGCTTGACTTTAAATACAGTAAACTTTCATTATTTCAAAGTTAATCGGACTGACAAAAATAATTTGAGATAACAAGAATTTTGAGATATCAAGAGTAAATATAATGCAAATCTATCAACTGTGATATAGATTTCTCTTTTTGAAAAAAGAAAATGAATAAGCGAGAACACTTCCTTCCTGAATTCATTATTTTCCAACAACAAGATGCATATTTTCGAAATTTGTAAAAAGAAGGGGGAAAAAACAGTGAAAAATTCCAGTGTTGGCGTTAGGATTCAGATGGTGTCATTTGCATGAGAATAATATGTAGAATAAGAAGAAATTTCTCTATAAATGTCTGAGTATTTTTTATCTATTTGTCGTTTTTAAACAACTTCATCTCGTTGAAGTATATATGAATGAAAGATATGGTCTGTACGTCAAAGAGACATCATTTCAATAACCTAAAAACCAAAACAAATGCGTCTTTTGCATGAATTATGAAAGGGGTATGGGCAATCTTATTTCATAAATTAACCGACCTACCTGCTTTATATTACCTTAGGATTTCTTTCTTTGTGGTATTCACCTAGCCCGGATGTCAAAAACAGTTGTTCATATGTGATCCTGTAACTTAAGGATTACCTGTAAACTTCAGTTTTCTTCCTCAGCGGGAAAGACTATAAAAGTTATTTACGAGTTTAAGTCGAAAGTTTGAACATTCAGTCAGGTCATACCGAAAGATTGTGGACAACAGCGACTGGGAATTATAACTTGCAACGTCTCAAGTTGACGACGAAATGGTAGATAGTGCAAGACCTACATGCATGTCAGTTAGTAAATCTAATAAAATTTAGGAAAAGTGGAATAGTAAGTTTGAAGACTTAGATAATGCAATTAACACTAAATTAAACAAAATTTTGACAAATTTTCCATGAGAAGAGGGCAAACACAAAGGTTAGACTTGGAAACGGGAAATTCGTCAAAAGACGTTTTTCTATTGATAGACGACAAGGCCATTGATACAGGAAAATGTGTTGCAAAGACAAGTAAAATTTTAGTGATGATTCCGACCGCAATGACAATGTTAGAGTGAAAATAATGATAGATCTCTTTGCATATTAGTATCTTGATCAAATTGTCAGAGCAGGAGCTTTTAATTATATTATAAAACAACTATATGCAATGACAGATACATACATCTTTGCATACTTTAAAAGACAACAGATATATTTCTGATTTACCTCTTTTAAGTTTGCGGATCAACTTGAGTCAACTCTTAAATCAACAAGGAGAAGAAGAAGACTCTTGATGACTTATTACCAAAGTTTGATATGAAAGATAGGAAACGAAAACTTAAATCTGTCAGCAGATCCTAATAATTAGAAAATAAAATATTTACTAGGAAAGATAAAAATGAAAGTCAGCAATCTAACAATGGTCCTATTTGTATTCTAGAGAAACACATATGGCTTTGGAAAGGAAAACAAGTCACAAGGACAGCCTCAACTGAAACAAGATTGATGCCTCTCAGAACAGAAGCTCCTTTATCATATTTAAAGGAGGAAAGAAACAATGAATAGGTGAGAAATTTAATGTTGTTTTCGAAGAAACAAGTAGTAGGCTGATTGTCTCATTTCCTTCCAGAATGATTAAAAAAATAACAAAAGACAATGGGTTCTCTCTATAATAAGGGAGGGTACAAATTGGAATTCATTCCAAACCTTTGTTTTGTGGAATAATACAAACGATATGAAATGCCAAACATTTAAACATTTTGGAAACAGAAATAAACAATTTGTTCGAAAAAAATGGTTGCAAAAATCATGCACAATGCTGTTTTTATAGTACACTGTTTCTGGTCCCAAAAAAGAATGGGGAAATGAGACCAGTAATAAATGTACGTCCATTCAATCCGTATCAGTAACTTTAATCTTCGAACACAACATTTCAAAATGGACTCACTGTCCAAAGTATTGAATCTAGTCAAAGAAGGAGATTGGGAAATAACACTCGATTTGAAAGATGCATACTTCCATATACTGGTGTTTCACAAACACAGAAACTATCTCCGATTCGCGTCACAGTGAAATCCACAGAATGTTCTCTGAACCCATCAGTCACACAGGCAATATTCAATATTTTAGGGAAAACTTTTATCGAGTTGTTTTGTTTCGGCACTGAATTGGAAAGCTATAGTGTATAGCTCCTGGACCAGAGATCTGAACTTTGTAATAAAGGGTGAAAATATAGGACAATAGCAGGATATTGGTATATGTTGTCATCAGTCTTAGTTCTCATTGATAAAACACATGTAGGACAACTTTCATATGAAATGTCTGTTATTTAAAGGTGTTTACAATTCTAGACAACCTGTACGGAAATTATTGCCAGAATGAGATCTATATTTTCTTTTAGATATGATGATATAGCCTTCATGTTATCCCTTGAAATAATCAAATTTGAAATACTTGACATGGAAAAAAGTTGTTCTCATAGCCATTTAATAAATGTGGGAATCTTTAATTAGCCTTTAGACTGTGTGATTGATATGTGATTGTTAAAGAAAAGGGAATAACATCTTTACGACATGGTCTTTCGAAACAGGATAAACTATTACATAAAAATGCATGAATTTTTTTTCGAGAAAAAAAATAAACAGATCATAAGAAATCGTAGACACTTGTTTCCAAAAAAGAGATATTTCATATATTTAACATTGCTATTTTGCAGTGAGCAAAATGAAATAATTTACGATTGACCTACTTGGAATACCTACTACGAATGATTCAGCCTATCATACATCATTTTTATTTTTCGATCATTCAATGTACATTTACGACATATCAAGTCGCCATTTCGCAGTCAGAAAATGAATACTAGGAATACCTGCTACGAATGATTCAGCTTATCATACATCATTATTTAGATAATTCAATGTACATTTACGACATAACAAGTTTCAGTGGGATAGACAATATATGTATTCTTACTTGAAAAGAATCCAGGAACAAAGACGGTCATGAAGACACATTATTATTTTTAGGAATAAATAAACCTCATAAACCAGTTTCGCCATAGACAATTTCAAGATGAATTGTTTAAGTGACAAAGAAGGCTAATGAAGTGAGGAAGAAAAAGGTTATGGGAATTAAAGGACATTCAACTAGGTTCGTTGGCCCATCGTGGGCATTTTTAAAGGATCATTAATGAAAAATTTTCTTGAAAGTGCAGATTGGAGTCAAAAGAGAGGCGAAAGGTACCAAAGGGACGGGACATTCAAACTCATATGACGAAAATAAACTGACAACCCCAATGCAAAAAAAAAAGAAAGAAAAACACCGTAAAATTTTCGAAAGGATGATTTCAACTTCACCACTTGATAATCTTGGTTTTATATCTTCCTTGCCAGTCAACATACAACTTTCACTAAATTCTATGTTGTGATTTAGTTTTTACGGTGTTATCTAGCACCATAAGAAAACAGAAGCTTACAGGTAATCGGATAGTCACGTGATCACTAGTGAACAGCTGTCTTAGACTTCCGGGCGAGCTGAACACCACAAAGAAAGATATCCCATGGTACATTTGTCAGGGATCGAGGTATTATAAATTCACAAAATTCTAATTTGAGTACAAATTTGTTAATTTCCCCTGTATTTTTTCATACAAATTGAAAAATTTGGGAAATTGCTGAAATCTACTGGAATTTGAATATAACACATTTGTGCATTATTTATTTTAAAGATACTTTTCGATAGAATGTTAGTTTTGGTTAAGAATGTCCTTCTTATTCATTTTGATAACAAATATTTAAAGTTTGCCGAAATCTTCCAATATAGCTGTTCAAACAAATTGTTATGCATTTGTAAAAATTTAGACACATGTTCAGAAAAAGAGCAGATGTTGATATCACCTTGATGTACGCACCTGATCTGTGACTCTTTGATAGTGTTAAGAAATAAAAAAATAAAGCTGATTAAGGTCAAGTTACAGTAAAAGGGCTATGTCACAGATTTTGGTAAAATTCTGCATACAAATTTGTCTTAAAATCATCAAATCTCTAATTTTAAATACATAGATTTTTCTTGAAAAACTGTATGTTGTTGATACATAAATTTCCTTTTTAATGATGTACAATAATTATAGGGTCACTGACTTCGTTTTTTTACGGTATACATCATTCAAAGTGGTGTTCTACATGAAAAAGTACCATAAAATGTCGAAATAATCGTTACCTCATCGCGTTGCATGCCGTAAAACGTTAATTTTTGACGGTTTTCGCTACCAACTAGGTAACAGATTGATTATTAGACAAAAAACGAAGGCAGTGACCATATGATTATTTTATATCGTTAAAACGGAAATTTATGTATCAACAACATATAGTTTTTTTAAGAAAAATCTATGTATTAGAAATAGAGAGATTTAATGATTTTAAGACAAATTTAAGAAGGTTTTTCGCCGATTTTATGTGCTGTCTATACAAATGTTCACCTATTTTGAAAGAATTCAATCAGTAGTTTGATTTTCAGTTATAGTTTAAAGATCCAAAGTTGTATGCAAAAGTTTACCAAAATCTGTTACATATAAATGAAAAGATGTGGTATGAGTGCCTATGAGGCAACTCTCCATCCAAGTCACAATGTATTAAAAGGTAAACAACGATAGGTCAAAGTACTGCCTTCAACACGGAGCCTTGGCTCACATCGAACAGCAAGCTATAAAGGGCCCCAAAATGACTAGTGCGAACTTATCGGTCATCATAATTTCAACTTAACCCGTGAGTGTTAAGTGTGGTTTTAATACACTTTGTATGTTTTATATATACTTGACACTAGCACGTGCAAGAACGGGTACACCGAGCTGACACAATTTTGTTAAATTTTATTCTTAGAGATAATAAGACTCTGTTGACCCACCTCCGAGAAAATGTGAAATCCCAATTATATCATTATAAATTCGTTCAGACACAAACTATCAAAACATTAAGATATATTTTTGTAGTAGATACTCCATTAAGTTACAGAAATCAAAACCAAGTCGAAGGGGGGTACCAATACAGTTTCCATTTTCAATGATTGATAACAAATCGTATGAAAAATTGTTGTGAAAAATCACACCAAAACCAAAATTCACCCTTTGAACCCATATAACTCAAACGCAAATATTAAAATTTAACTGTGAATTCTCAAGGTGTGTTCTGGTACAATCATGTTTTCAATAAAACCACACTGTTTGTGTCTTTTATACACTAAAATTGTAAACCAGGACATTTAATTGTGTGTAAATATTAATAAAAAAGAACATGAAGGGAATATGACAATTGAAATTTCTAAACAACAAAGTGGACTAATATTTGTAAGATATAATCTAAAATTGAAGCGTGATCGTGGTCCAAAGAACGACTTTGTTCTTTTACTACATATACTCTGCATATTGAAATGTACTGATTATTTGCACAAACGCCTGTGTTGGTGCAATGGCACAAAGCAAATTACTGTAAAATGGGCTTGAATTCTATAATGGCTATGTGATTATATAATTGCTTTCCGTAAAGAAGTAAATTGTTAGAGTATATTATGCTATTAAATTTTTTTTTACCAGCAATCTTTCTGTTTAATAAGCTTCGTTTTCTTCCGTTTTCGATCGTATAATTCGTTTTGTTTTATACATCTGTACAATTATATCACGTCAGCTTGTTCATGGTCTGTCAACAATTTGTAAATCTCAGAGGAGTGAAATTTGAATTGATTTTCGGTAATATTTTAGTATTATTATCTCGAATAGCACAACCCCTTACACGAATGATTGTCTAAATTTATGCATGTAATTACCTGGAGCAAATGCCATTAGGTACAATACCAACCCCATCAATCCCATCCAAGAGTAAGATGATGGACAAAAATTGTCAGCCCAAACCAAATCATTGGGTAAACTAGAAGAGTTACATCGACCTAGTGAAGAGTATGTAGGTTCTCTATAAGGAAGACATGATCCATTGACCGCTGAATTGCCTGACTCTACATAACAAAATCCACAATCAGATGTCTGAATACAGGATTGACATGAGCTGTAATGAATGAATAGAATAAATAATCAAAATATTTGATCGTCTAATACTTGCACTAAGCTTTCCATTTTGCTTTCTATTGTATTTTAAATGAGCTATGCTGCTAGAAAGACGCCCCATTAACACAAACACACACAATTATTTTATTTACCTGCAAATTTGGTTTATCCGAATCATTATTTAAAACTATTGTAATACTACATTTCTTCGATCTTGGCAGAAAAAACGAACAACGATAAAGTGTAATCGAACTTGTCAGTTCATAAATGAGCAAACCAATGCATTTTGTCTTCGTTTATACGTTTAAGGGCTACATCATGTACATTGTGTGTAAATAACACTCTGATTTTACGTAAAGTTAAGCATGATAAGAAGACATTTCAAAGTCAAGCTTAAACGTAGCTGTAAATGATAATAAAATGAACATCATTTACTAAGTTCTTTTGTGGTTTATTGTATCATTTACTATGAATTTAGCTAGACAACGGCGTTTATTACCAAAGAATATTACTTTTGGCAGAGATGTTAAACGCAGATTTTAATGTCAACTTCGCTAACACCACTGAGGTTAAATCAAAGGTTGTATGCATATTGATCTAAATGAGGTCGAATCATTTTAATTACAAGTCAATAAAGTATTAGCGATGTTTTAAGGGTTCTTGCAAATTTGAAACACTGACTGGTTATAACAAAGACATATTCCGATTTTTTAAATGTTTGAAGCCAAAAAAAAAAACATACTTTATATTATTTCAACTTATTTTGTCTAAATCGTAGGTAATTCCCTGAAATATCAACAATATGCATATATGTGTATATCTAATGCATAAATGATTTCTCATTTTTAAGGATTGTGTTTTCTATTATTTATTGGTAAGTGTGTAACAGTAAATTCGGTCCGGTAGTAAAATTTGTCCGCCGGACTCTTTTTCCTAGGTAATCAAGTCCGTGACCATAATGTTAATAGGAAATTAAGTCCCTGGATAAATTTTCCTAGGAAAATAAGTCCATATCTAGTAAAATATGTCTGGCACTTATTTTCCTAGGAAATTTTGTATATATCCGTATTCTTATTTTTGTATGAAAAAAGTCCCTTTAAAATTGTATTTCTTAAGACATTATTCAAATTAATCAATATTAAAATCAAGAAAGGAACATTTGTGATTATGTACATCATAAAAGTCTGTGATATTAATTTTCTAATTTTCCTAGGAAAAAAAGCCCGTTTGATTATTAAAAAACACCCATATTTTGATAAAATAGTGAAATATTAATTCACAACTGTTAAACAATTTAGAAACATATAAGATAAAAATTCCATTGTTTACATGTAAATTATTTCTTTCATTACAAAATTACCTATAAAAATAAAGGACAAGGATGTTTTTACCTAGGAATATTAATGGCTTGGACATGAATTCCTAGGAAAATTAGTCTGGGCACATACATTTTATTAAAAGATTAATGCACAACTGTTTAACAGCATTGAAACATAATTAAAAATTCCGTTGTTTACATGTAAATTTCTCTCATTACAAATTGTCTAATCAAAATAAAGAACATGTTCGTGTTTACCTAGGAATATTAATGACCTGGTCATGAATTTCTAGGAAATTTAGTCTGGGCACATAAATTTTATTAAAAGATTAATGCACAACTGTTAAACAACATTAAAACATAAGAATTAAAAATTCCATTGTTTACATGTAAATGATTTCTTTTATTACACATTTTCCTAGTAAAATAAAGGACATGGACGTTTTTACCTAGGAATATTGATGACATTGACATAAATTCCTAGGAAAATGAGTCTGGGGACTTAAATTACTGACATCAGACTAAATATACTAGTAAATTGTGTATCCATGGACTTTTTATACTAGTAATATTTGTCCGCCCGCACACATTTTACCAGGACTAATTTATCTCTTACAAGTGTATTTAGGAAATCCTTAATTAGATATATCATATTGACATTTTAAAAAAACCCAACTTTCTATGCTTACTTATTCTGATATAGTACACAATTCAAAATTTTTTATCAGAAATATTAAGATATTGATCATCACCATCACCACCTTTTCCTCAAGTTGTATTCGAAGTAATAAAGCAAACATTAACAAATTCATTAAACACGTCTCCAGCATTCCTATTGCTATTTTCATAAATAAGATTCGTATATACTTATTTTTCCTCTCTTCGAAATTTGCTCCAAATCACATACATAAATTTATCCAATATTATCATTGATTCAATTGTTTTATTAGCCCCATCCTAGGCAAACAGAACTTCCTCCTATATCTGAACACTTAAAGCTTCACTTTACTACGGTGATCGAAGCAAGCCCTGTTTAATATGTGATCCTAACGTGTTGTTATTAATTTCTGATTCCTTGTCCAGGTTTGATTTAACTTTTTGTTCTTTTTAGGTTTATCAGCTCTTCAACGTTTGAAATGGGTTTCGGGTTTTCAAATATTTTGGCCGCGAACATAACTGAAGAGACATAAACTGTCGAAATGCGCATCTGGTACAGTAAAATTGGTACCGCTAATGTAATTACTACCACTGGCTAGATGCCTCTTTTGGTGGACTGTAAGTCCCCGAGGATACTATTTGCCTAGAGGCCAGTACCTGGGTACTGGCATGATGAAAATATGTATTTTGTTTTTTGTATTTGTTATAAAATTCCAAGATCATTTTAAATTTCGGAATGTATATCCCTTCTGCATATCTATGATTCCCTATCCGGGTTTGGCCTCATTTTTTGTCCTTTTTGGATATTTAAATATTTTGACCTCGAGAATCACTGAAAAGACAAAAATTGTCGAAATGCATACCTGGTGCAGTTAAATTGGTACCATTAATGCTATAACTACCAGTGGGTCGATACCTCTGCTTGTGAACTGTCAGTCTCCAAGGGTATTAGTAGCATGAACATATGGATTTTGTTTTATTCAAATTATTTTGTTTTTATTTAAATTTGGAGAGTGAATGTTATTACTACCACGTCACAGGGTCGATACTTCTGCTTGTGGTCTGTTAGTCTCCGAGGGTATTATCAGCATGAAAATGCGGATTTTGTTTTATTCAAATTATTTTGTTTTTATTTAAATTTTGAGAGTAAATGTTATTACAACCACAGTTGCTCTGAAAAGGTTAAATTGCCAAAATTCGCTTCTGGTGAAGTAAAATTGATACCGAGAGAAAATTCGAATGAACCTTAAATGTATAAAACGCAATATTTCATTTCGGAGTTTAGCCTGTTTATTATTTTTGGATTTGGATAATTACCAGCCAAATTAGTGAATCCAATGACTAAATAAACTGTTCTGTTTTAATAGACTTTACCTTTTCAAATATAAACATATAGGTTCCGCGTAGACTACTATAAAATGAAAAATTTACAAAAGCCATTAGTAGCCTTTATAAATAGTATTATGGATGAGTCTGAACATTTTACTTGGAATTCGGTATTTCTTAGTGATAAAATGAGAGTTTCATTGGACTGGATAATAGGCAACGCCGCTTAAATAAATAAAGGCGTGAAACATTAATCAATATCATGTAGGGAGAAAGACGTTAAACGTTGGAAAATATGACAAGATTCTTATTCATTTCAAGAGAGAGAGGCGAAAGAAACCAAGAAATCAAACTCTTAAGTCGAAAACAAACTGACAATGCTATGACAAAACCGAAAAACAACGAACAGTACACAAAACACAACATAGAAAACTAGAAACATCTACACGAACCCCACTAAAACTGGGAGTGATCTCAGTTGCTCCGGAAGGGTAAGCAGATCCTGCATGTGGCACCAGTCGTGTTGCTCATGTAAGTATACAAACCCGGTGATAAGTCTAATTCGGTAGGTCACATTCGAGGAAAAGAGAACGGGATTGTGGTTACAACAATTGGAACATATCCGTCGTACGATAGTAATTAACGTTTAATAAGAAATGAAAAAGAAAATTACTCGGGGGCCGAAGATATTGTATTCTACGAAGGAATGCAAGATAACAGGTAGAAATAATACTTGTTACGCAATCGGTTTCTTTTACTGATCAATTACACTAGAGGTCGGTCAATTTAAAAAGTACCCAATCGTGTCATATACGTTGACATACACGTATCTGTAGATATATCAAAAACAACATAGATCCTGATTTTTAAGTCTATGTTGCGTACCAAAAAATCTTTATTTCATATGATCTTATAATAAAGAAAGATTAAACACATTTCTTTCTAGATTGGTGAGTGTGGTGATTTGCAAAAAGGAGGGCTCTTTTACTGAATATGCAGGCTTTTAAAAAATAACGGATATGGCTATATGGATCGAGAACCAGACAAAATCATCGTATGAAATTCACAAAAATACATACAAAGCATGCTTGTCTATGTGTGTACAAAAAGTTAAAAAAAAACGCCAAATGTAATTTTCACGTCAGGTCTTTTGAATAAAACATATTTTCATTTTTATTACAAATGAATGATACATAACATGCATAATGTCAATACATAGGTTTTACTTGAATACAAATTAAAAAAAAAACATCCCAATTAGAAAAATGTATCCCTAAAATTTCGACAAAAGGTCAATGTCTGATCTTTGAGAATAAGTTTGAAAATCAATCCTCTTTATGAGATTAAAGATGCGATGGGGGTCACCATATATACATGTACATCGATACCTTTTATGTTCACACAGATTCAATGTCAGTTACATTTGTATTTGATGGAATGGATTAAAGTTTTGCACTCGATTACTCAGTTCTGTTTCTGTTTGTCCGTTCACAATATCGTAAGCGCAACTCCTTTTTAACAGCGCACTGCATCATGCCATGCATTTGAATGAACTTACTCAAATGAAACACACATTGTAGCAATATAATAACGTTCTGACAACGCGTTATAAATCTTAAAGTGTACTCTTATTTCAGTAACAAATTTAAGGAATTTAGGCCATCCGTATTTTATCTATGTGAATATTTTAATAAACTGATCATTGTCGTTTTGCTTAGTTTTATATGTTACCTATTCTAACATCGGAATCGGACTTCTTTTAAACCGAGTTTTACTGTGCGTATTGCTGTGTGTTTGATTATTCCACATTGGCTAGATGTATAGGGGGAGGGTTGAGATCTCTCTAAACATGTTTAACCCCTTCGCATATTTGCCCCTGTCCCAAGTCAGAAACCCAAAGACTTTGTTAGTCTTGTGTATTTTTTTAAAAATTTTGGTTCATTTGTATGTTTGCGGTTAATGTGGTGTCCATTTCGATGAAATAGTACCTTGTACATATAAACATTAGTGTTTAGGGGCTAGCTAAACCCGCCTCAGGGTGAGGGATTTTCTCGCTGCGTTGAAGACCTATTTGTCACATTTCCCGTTTCCATTCTCTATTCTATTTGATTTTATGTAAGAACCTTTATGATTTTTATCTTATTGTTTTCTAGTATGATTGGTTGAAATGTTTTAATTTACTTTTGGTACATAAATGGAACCTTTTGACAGTTGCATCAATTTTTATTCATATATGGTGCAAATGAACAGTATTGTTTTTATTCTATATCTGTGACATTTCATATAAAGTGTTAATCAAGAAAAAAGTAAAATTGGTACCGTTAATGTTATTTTAGTACCTACTTAGGTTAAGACGTAACATCATTATGAGACAGCTTTTAGAAAATTGCAAACATCAAATTTTCAGGTTTAAGTTAATAAACATCACAGTTGGTATTTGGAACAAATTAATCTAGTCTTTTAACTTAATGTACAGACAGGAACAGCACTGACCTCGTTTTTAAAATTTTCAACTATGCGACAAATAAACTTTATTTTAAGGAAATAATCAATAACTAATGATTTCGAAATAATCAATAAGTAATAATTTCGACTTACGAGTTTGAATGTCCCTTTAATATCTTTCACCTCTCTTTTTAAGTAAAGGTTGTAATGCCATTAACACGTCTGACGTTTAAAAATGCTAGCATTGAAAGTAATTCTCAAGTTTATGTATTTCATAACTATGTTTTTTAACGTTATCTATGGTTATAAATTTATCTACCTGAAATAATTACAGCTGTTGTTTTCTGCGATTTGTTCATGCAGTTCAATTGAAGGCGAGCTGTAAGCCGACAACTGGAATCCTACAGCTAAAACTATTAGGCTTATTAATATGCCTACAATATAAAATGTAAAAAAAAACTATGATACTGTATATATTTAATATAATCCGGGACACTTATTCTTATGAAACAAAAACAGAGATGTTGTTGAGACGACAGTTGAACTGGATTCTGTCAGTTGTTCCAACTTTGAAAAAATCTGCGAAGTAATGATATAGGTTCAGAAGGAACATATGTACTTGTAAACCTCCGTATGGTAATTTGATGGCTTCGATTCTTGTGTAAATCGTCTACTATATTTCTGCTTTTTTTTTCAAAGATAGTTTAATATGAGAACTATAATGAACAAAAAATCGTGAGTTTTCACATCAACTTATTATGTAGTTTGAGCAACAATAGTTTGCAGATGTTTTAAAATTATCTAATAAATCGATTAAGAAGGAGACAAATCAAGATAACAAAGAAAAACTGACTATTTTGGTATTCAGAGATCTAAGACTGTGTAAACATGTCGCAATTCGTGATGGCGACCGTAAAACTGATGTAGTGTCGATTTCAGTTGTTCCTCGTAAGAACTCTGTTTGAATTCTTTATTGGAATACCGATTATATGTTGAAATATCAATCTGCCAAACTCAACAAATTTGTTTTCGGCAAAAAAAAACTTTAGGATTTTAATGATATTATCCTCGGTGTATTTATTTTTGGAATCAGTGCTGCTTGTTATCACGTTTTCAATTTGCACTCTTGCATTGCGAGATTTATTTTCAGTTAAAAAAAAAGTATTAGAAAGAAGGATAAAATAGGTCGTTTTATGTTTTTTCACGTAGATTGATATGTATTTTTAAGAACGCATCCTAATGCTGATACTCTAATGATGAAAAGACATGTTTATGCGTTTGTGTAGATGATTAAGTTTGTGTGTAAAAAAGAAGAACAATGAAGTCGATCCAGTAATAAATACATAGCGTCACAATCCAGTGATTTTTTTTCGGTGAAAGGCAAATATTAAAGAGTCACGAGAGTGCAGTGAGCTGGTGAGGCGTAAACAATAGAATAGTTACTATTTCAATGACAAAGGTGACACAATCAATAGTGTTTTCTACGTTGGTAACTATATTGATTAGAAGTTTTTTCGAAACCATATTTGAGCATTATATAAAACATATAGCTCCGTTAATGGGGCATTAGCTACGATTTCGACAGCAAAATAAAATATGTTTTTTTTGTTTCAAAAATTTATAAAGCGGATATTGAAATACTAATTCGCTATTAACTGTCAGTTTGGTTCAATTTTGTCAAAAACAAACTAAAAAAACATAGAAAATATATTATTGGCTTGCAAGTTAATAATTCAACCCATTTTGAATCCATATCGATGCAACCTTTAGTTTTATCTTTAGCTGGAGATTGGTTACACAGTCATGTGGAACCGTGTTCAGTTATTAAAAACGTAAAAACTGTCTACATTGCAAAGTGAAACAAAACAAAATTCGTTGAGTGAATCAGCCCACAAAAATCATTCAATTACAGGTAAAACGATGATTTTTTTCTTAATCTATAACATGAAATCAAAACGATTTTTCGTACTTGTCTATCTATTTATGTTTATATGTATGGGTATATCAGGTCGTAAGACCAACGGCAGTCTTCGGAGGTCATCTCGATGTAAATTAGATGGCGTCTAGTCTGAAATACGCATAAAATGCTGGTACATAATAACGAGTTAATGCATTGTTAATTGTTTCTTTTCGTTTTTTGGATAAAAGTGTTTTTCTTTAGTACACTGTTTTACAGTGAACTAAAAAGACCGATACGGTGAACTTGTCAGGTCAGGAGCATGTAGTTCAGTGGTTGTCGTTGGTTCACGTCTGTCATATTTGTTTTTCGTAAATTGTTATAAATTAGGCCGTTAGTTTTGTCAATTGAATTGTTTCATATTTTTCATGTCGGGGCCTTTTATAGCCGACTATACGGTATGGGTTTTTCTATTTGTTGAAGGCCGTACGGTTGCCTATAATTGCTTACATCCACTTTATTTGAACTTTTGTGGATACATGTAGTTGTCTCATTGGCAATCATACCACATCTCTTTATTTTCATATTGTATTATAATTATTTAGATGCATATTTTTCAACTGAAGTAGATTTTGCAACAAAGGGACGATTTTTCGTTCCCTATTGTTAATCAATTTTCCACTTTTGACGGTGATGTTCCTTTGGCATCATCTTACGCTGATAATATATCCCAACTCGTTTGCTATACCCGTGTCTGTAGTGACGTTTTTGATTTCAATGAACGTAATTCATGTATTACTGGTAAATTATTGAGTCAAGGATTTCGCTACCATAAATTAATCCAAACCTTTACTAAATTCTTTCATAAATACAAAGATTTCGTTTGGAAGTTTGGATGTACCTGTAGAAAACTTTACAAACGGGATAGTACATACTAATTTTTACGGTGATGTTGTTTTTTAAGCTCGTTAACTTATCCGGGTAAAGTTATCGATCCCTTAGATAAACTTTTAAATAAAAGGTAAACAATTCAACACTGTTATACGATCTTTGAATAATGTTTTATCGGTATAAATATTGATTTTGTTGTTAAAACCCAACTAAATATTATTGTTATACACTATGTACATTCACGATCCTACAATCTGTTTTCACCTATATATTGACATTGCACAAGGTCATGTTTTTCTATCACTGTTAATGACGTCTTTTATACACTAAATCCATTGGATATTGGATATGCACTTAATGATATTTTAGTCTATGATAATTGATTCTTTAAGTTGCTATTGACTAGAAATTAGCTTTCAGTAACTGGGAATACTCTCAGATCTATACTTTTTGTCTATTGTGTTTTTGTCCTTTGTATCGATCTGATGAGTTCAGCATTTTTCAACTGATTTTTGTAGTTTGTTCTCATGTTGTCCTGTTACACGATTGTTCAAGATTAGAGAGAGGTTTGGCGCGCCCGCAACTAAATTTTATCTCGCCACATTCTGTATGTGCCTATCCCAAGTCAGGAGCCTGAAATACCTGGAAGATTTTTTTATTAAGTTATATGCACATGACAAATATGAGTTTGGAAACTATTGCAAAAGAGTTAAATCCTTTTTGTAGTGACATGTTTCTTAATCTGTCCAAATTGAGGCCAGAAAAGTTGAAAAATGAAAACAATCCTTTAACATCTTGGGTCAACCCATTTGGCTGAATATTATAAGATGTAGAATGCCTTTTATTTATGAAAATTACTGTAATGATGGTATATTTTTATACGCCCGTTTACGGGACGTATTATGGTATACCGTTGTTCGTCCGTCCGTCCGTCCGTCCGTCGTCAACATGTCGGACAATAACTCACAAAAGGCTTTAACCAATTTGCATGAAACTTTGGTGAATTGTTTATACCTATTGACGTAAGCTCATTTTCGATTTTTATAAATTTTAGATTTTGCGTTTCCGAGTTATGGGGGTTTATTCATTAGAAAAGGGAGATTTTCCAGTTTTCGGACAATAACTCAAAAATGCTTTGAGCAGTTTTCATGAAACTTTGGTGAATTGTTTATATCTATTGACTCAAGCTACCTTTAGATTTTTATAAATTTTAGATTTTACGTTTCCGAGTTATGGAATTTTATTCATAAAAAGGGGGGATTTTTCCAGTTTTCAAGCAATAACTCAAAAGTTTTCATGAAACTTTGGTGACTGGTTTATATCAATTAAAATAACCACCCTTTAGGTTTTTTTTTTATTATAAATTTCTGATATGACATTGAGGAGTTATGGAACTTTATTCGTTGAAAAAGCGACGAGCTTGTCATGCGCTCATGGCGCAGCTCTTTATCAATTAATGATCTAATCTCAGATGAAAAAAACAGACTGACATTTTAACAGCTTAAATCTCAGTAAACAGGTTGATATCAATCATGTTGAATATTATGGTCTTGTTTGTGCAATCCAAGGTAGCTAAAAAATAATAATTTCTGAGCAAGGTAGATAAGATCCTATTGAAAATATTATTGTTGAAAAACTCAAAAATGAAAAAAAAAAACAACAATATGTAAATATTTTTATCGACTGTTTCTAGAACATATCAAAGAAAATCCTTCAAGATCACAATCCAAATGGTCCGAGGATTTATGTGTTAAAATTGAAGATTGTGGGGAATCTACTCCACTGCATTTCAAGCAACAAAAAAACAATGAGCTTTAAAATTTTCAGTTCAAGTTATTACATAGAATTATAGGTACAAACTCTCTTTTTATAAATGTGGTTCAACAGAAACAGAAATGTGATTTTTTTTTGCACAGAAACCAAAGAAAGTTTGTTGCATATTTTTTGGGAGTGTGTATACAGCAGAAATATTTGGATTGCACTTCAAAAATTATTATCAAACTGTGAATTTACACTGAAACAGATAGATACAAGGGATCTAATGTTTGTATTGGGGAAAGTTTTGACCCATATAATACAGTTCAACATATAATGTTGATTTTGAAATATTATAATCATAGCTGTAAAAATTCAGAGGAGAAAAACATTCTTTGAAAGGAAGTACTGAATATTTGAAATATTGTATAAGAATAGAACAACATATGGTTAATTATTTATCCCCTACACAAAAAGAAAATATAAATACAAATGGTTGCCATTAGAATCTGTCCTGGGTGATTTAAATATTGCATAACTGGTACAAAAATTATATTTATATCATTTTATATTTTTGCTATTTAGAGTTGATGTTATAGAATAGACTTTAAAGGAAATATCTTACAGACCATACTTGAAACTGTACACGTGTAATCAAGCTTGGTGTATTATGCATTTATGTCAAAAATAAACAAATTACAAAAAAAAAGTCATGCAGGAGCCTTTAATTTTGATGTTGTCATTTGTTTCTGTTTCTGTAAACCGGCGTATCATATTTGCTTTTCGTTTATTGTTATTGTTTAATTCAGGCCGTTAGTTTTCTCGTTTGAATTGTTTTACATTTGTCATTTCGGGGCTTTTTATGGCTTACTATCCGGTAGGGGTTTTGTCCATTGTCGAAGGCCGTACGGTGACATATAGTTGTTAACTTCTATTTCATTTGGTCTCTGGCGGAGAGTTGATTCATTGGTAATCATACCGCATCTTCTTATTTTTATATTCTCTTTTATTTTGTATTAATAATAGTAACTTAAAGTTTTTAATGCGACAAATGTTGAGAAGGAACTCTTCGTCCTTTCCAAACACATTAATGCCTCCTCTGTTTCTGTGAGTGTTTGTGATACTCGCATTTATTTAAGATATTCATTTAAAAATATTTGTAAATTCAACTGCAAAATATTATGATCATAATTTTAGTATACAAAAGTCTTGAAGGAAGTATGGGAGTATAAAAAATGTTTTCCCCTACTTTCTCAAAATGTAAAATATCTTGTGAGGTTTAAAAAAAATTATAGGTCACCGAGTTTGTTTTGAAGCTAAAGGTTGTGATAAATGGCACGTTTTGTATCGATTATAGAGAAAAGGGCATAATTATGTGAGTAGAAGGTAAACTAAATGATAGAATTTTGAAATAGAATGACATGAGATAGCTCTTATAAAATGCTTTCATTATATCAAGAGAAAAATGGGACCACCGTACTTTTCCCTCTGCTATAACATAAAAAAGAAAAAAATTCTGCAAATTCCTTTATGAATTATAAATTTCGGATAGCCTCCCTTTAAAACGTTAAGTAAAATAAATCAAGCAAAAATATTCTAATTTTCTAAATATTACTGATTTTAAGATAAAAGCAGATAAACGTGGTCATTTAAATAAAAATTCGTATTAAAACTTGTAGTCCTGCATCGCAAATTGCTGACCTGATTGAAAATCTAGACCTATTGTTTTCTGGTATTTTACAATCCAAAATGGTGGAAGACTTCCTTACTAGCTTAAGCCTTCTTCATTGTAGATTACTTTTGTCTTTCTTTTAATCAGGGTATAAAATCAATGAATTCTAATATGATGTTCTTCAAACGCTTTGAGTACACATCCGTGGTAAAATATGAATATATCATTTGGGCTGTTCCGATCATACTCCCACGTCATATGCTTTTTTTATGAATGAGCTACCTGACGTCATTGAACGATGACGTAAGAATATAAGCATTTTACGGGAAAATGCACGATTGTGAAACTGAAAGTCATCAAAACAAATAAACATAAACAAACGATGATAAAATGTGTTATAAGCCAAATTTTTACATATAAGTAAGATTATGATTCAAATTCATCCAAACCTATCTAAATACGTTATTGTAAATAGTTTAAGCATGTCACTAGTTCAGTATGCTCCGTTCTTTTGCGGCAATATAATAGTGTGTTTATTTACGGGAACGGCAAATATTTGCCTTCACCTAGAGCGCTCCGATCCAAAAGAATTGCCGTATGTGTCTTATTAGAATAGAAATAATTCATGGGGGCTTGAATTTATACTGATTTTACCACGGGTTTGCCCTTTATGCCGATATTTTATCCCTCGCTATCGCTCGTGGTAAAATATCTAGCATAAAGGGCGCTATCGCTCGTGGTAAAATATTTAGCATAAAGGGCCAACCCGTGGTAAAATCAGTATAAATTCAAGCCCACATGAACTATTTCTTAATCATTCTAAAAATGACAAAAATCCAAAAGGACACAATAAACAAAGTATGAACTTGTTATAATGTATTAGCATTTCGCCATCTAATTAACCATCGAGATGACATCTGAAGAATGTCGACGGTCTAAAGACTTGGTATAAGCAAAAATATAAGTATTGATAGACAGACGTACACGTGCCATTATTTAATGCCGATTTGTCTAGGTCTATTTGATTCCATGTTATAGATTAAAAAATGTAAATCATTGTTTTACCGGTTTATGATTGATTTTTTGTGGGACGAATTAGACAACGAAATGGTTTATCCTGGTGGCTTTCTTGTTTCACTTTAAATGTTGACATTCTTTTCTTTTTAATAACTGAACACGGTAAGCACATGAGTATCCAGGGTAAGATTAAAGGTTGTACAAATACGGATTCAATTAAGTTGAGTTAAAGACATGCAATAATAAGTAATAATACTTTTGCGATGTTTTTGAGCTTATTTTGACAAATTGTACCAAACTGACAGCTAATAGCGAAATATTATGTCAATATTTCGCTTTAATAAATATTTGAAACAAAAACAAAATCATATTTTACTTTTCAGTCTAAATCGAAGATATTGTCCCTTTACTTTGTAAACATACCCACTAAGCTGAGCAAAGCAAGCAATCGTCTTCCTATTCTCTCTACTAGCCAAACTCCAAGTAAGGAGAAGACGAAGTTAACAAAAGATGTTGCTGCTGACATCCATATAGCAGTAGAATTATCTCTAACTCCACTCATTTTTATAATACTTGCACTATAATACCTGAAACGAAATTGATGAATTCATAAAGTTTTGGAAATCACAGTCACCTATGCAGGCGTCACATTGTCCCGAAATTGATACCAGATGAGCACACGGTAAATGAAATGTTCAAATTCGAGTCTGATCGTCAAAACATCATGCCATTCGTAAGGGCATCTTTAGCCATCGTATAAACGCCGGTTGAGTTTTCAGGCTATGGCAGCAGCTTCGTGAGCGGTGGCAAAATCCGTCTTTATTCGTGTGGTCATCGTTGCCATCGGGCATTTTTCGCCTCACGAAGACAATACGAAGGAAACAAGAAGCTGTCCGATTGTCTTAGAAAGGCCACACAACAACATGAAGCCCTCGCAATGCCGTCATGTAGCCATCGTATTATAGTACGATGATATCGAGATGGGACCACGGTGTCTGTGAAAACAGCCAAATTTTAGTAGCTCAAGCGTTTTACATGTGTCTTGGTAACATGGACATATATAAGGCCAGACTCAGAGCATCTTCTTCAGACAGTCCTGAGCAGCTCTACAGAATAGAGGCGTGTGTAACTCCAAAATGCAATATCAAAATTGATCAAAATTCAGTTCCTGCAGAATGTCATACTTTGATGATGAGATAAAGAAGGCAGCAGCATTGCTTCTTTTGATGCTCTCAGAGAAAATGATGACCCACTCTTACAGGCCCCGCAACTCCTCTTACATGTTAAAATGTCATATTTCACTTTGACATTTCGTGCTATTTGCCTTTCTAATATTTGACAATGTCCATATCTTGTTTTGCTTTTTATTTTTCAGTGCAGGGACAAACCGAGTTGAAGGAGGAAACCGATGTCTATGTGGGTCAGAAAATCTGACAAAAGAACAGAACGTTATGGCCACTATAACACTATAACACTCGACTAAAGGAGCTGAAGAAGGAAGATGAAAAGGCCTTCTACAACTATACAAGACCTCAAAGAACCCTCTACGATGAGGTCCTGTGAAGGGTATAAGGCAGAATAGAGAAGAAGGACACATGTTGCAGAAAGGCTCACCCTCCTCGTCTCAAGCTGTCCACCACTCTACGACACCTGGCCTGCGGTAACAATTATCCAAGCCTTACTTCGTGTTGCCTCCGTGTGACCTTCTGTAGGCATCACACTTGCTTCGGCTGATCGTTGGCTGTTGACCAAGTTCGGGGCCATCTTCTTTCAAAATTCAAAATTCCATATTCGTATGTCTATCTGGTGTCATTTTGGCATAGTGTGACGCCTGCAGTTAAGGGTCCGAGTCCTTCTTTTCGAGATATAGGCCATTGAAAATTTGGCGGGAAATGGTTATCTCTAGATTTTCTATATATATTTAACATTGGCACCTTTTTTCTTTCAAAAACTATGAAAAATAACAAGGATTTCATAAGATTTTAAAATATGGCTTTTTAAACTATAGTTAATGAAATAATGAAAAGAAAAGTAGAGGTTAGAGGGCAAAATTTTTAATGGCACGACATGGATAAAACCAGAGAATTCTGAATATATGACAAAGATTCGAAAACAAGAGGAGCTAACATCCTTAATTCCATATTTAAAACATCTCACAAGTGATTATTACTATTTCATACTGTTTTGTTGTCCATTTATCTCATTTAAACTTTTGTATTTATGAAACATTAAGTTTGCCATTGAATTTATTCATAACTTTTTTCGAGGAATGGTGAATATATCCTGACATATGTTGTCATTTATTTTCTTATTCAAGGCTCACAAAGAACACTTTTGGATGTATATCATTGATTTGGTGGTATTATTGGCTCTCTATCTCTACTGCTTTTCCTATCTATATTGAAAGAAACAATAACATTCTTCATAGAATTATTTTTTTTAGCTCACTTTACCCAAAAGGCCATGGGAGCTTTTGCCATCACTTGGATTCGTTCGTTGTAAATTCATACCTTTATACGTATCGTTTTATATATGCTATCAACAGTTTAGTTTTGCTAGAAAAAAATAAAAAATAATATTTACATGACGGTGTTGATGCCGCTGAGTTGTTGGAATAATTGAATACCACATCCTAGAAACAGAGCACGTCTTACTGATGGCGTCGTAAAAATCCTTTTCAGTAATCCACCTGTGTGTAAACAATAATCGTATTTTAATTTAGCACTGACATGCTTCACATAATGGTACAAACGTAGATAGTTGCTACTTTTTATTATTCGCATGAAGGAATTTACTCCAGCTTACAACGCCTGTGTTTATCATCTGTATGGACAAACCACCATACACATGAAATATATAACGACTTGGCGGTTGTTTGCTAGTAAATCAGAAAAGTAATCAGAAAAGTATACAAGGCCTTATTAATGACAGAAATTCAATGAATTTTTTCCATTAACTTACAGAAGAGCTAGTAGTTTTAATATGCAAAAAGGAGTTCCAGTAATCAAGGGTTACGTAAAAATATAATCTACATAACCCTCACTGTTTAATAAGATGAAAAAAGTACCCTACATGACTGGATGATATTTTGGTAAAATTATGAAAGCCCACTAGTCAATAAGAAATACATTATTTTGGAAAAGATAGCAAACAAGATTAACATGGACTCTTCCAATCTAGGATAAGAGAAAAGTGGTTATATTTGTGTTATCCTAATTGCTATAGATCATCATAAACACCACCTGTCACTTTGCCTCCGTCGTCTGTCCGTTCGCTGTTCGTCATCAGTAGTCCGGCATCTGTCGTCCGTAAACTTTTCTTGAAAAGATATGTTCCTCTAAAATCATTCCATGGATTGAATCCAAAGTTTGTCTTCTTCATTTATACGATGTCCCATGAAGTTTGTAATTTTCAACCACATAAATAAACCAACATGGTCACCGTGGCTAAAAGTATAGCATAGGGCTATAGCAATTAGAGAAAAACAACCATTATTAAGATCAGCTCGACAACCTTTATCAGCCTTGAAAAACTAGGTCAACCAGTTTTTAACTTATTGACCATAAATGTTTTTTTTTACTGTTTTTGCAGTTCTTGAAAACTATAGGAGCTAGGTAAAAATGTAATTGCACAAATGATCAGCATGACAAGACCTACATGAATCCACCTTATCACTTTGAGAAAAATCCAAGTTATTTTCCCTGATATATCCATTCTAACCGAATTATGCATTTTTTTGCTGTTGTCTTGAATATCATAGGAACTTCATGAAGGTTAGGCTGTAGATTGAGAAAATTATTAGAATGACAAAGTCTATCTACCGTAGAAATTTCAGAAAAACATCCGGCAACCCGTTTTGGAGTTGTTGCCCCACAAATGTCAACATATACCAATATTCACATTTGTTTATGTTATCATAAAATTTGAGAGGGCTGAGTTTAAAATGTAAATTGAAAATGAGCAACATGACAAGATATATCTACACTAAACATTAGATAATCTGACAACTTATATTGGGGTTGTTGCCCCTAAAATATTATGTTTTTTTTTCTTTTTTTCTGCAGTTTTCATGTTCCGAGGATAGCGTGTAATTTGCAGATAGGATTGACATGGCAAAAAATAACTAGTATATGCAATTAAAGCAAACTTTCACATTTTTCACAGATGAGCGATACAGTTTAAGGCGAGCCTCTTGATGAAAATGATGTAATTTTTTTTTTATCATGAATAAGTGACATATGGCCGGAGGTTTAAGATGTTAAAATGACAAGGTTCACTTTTACCAAAATATGACCTTAGATTTTTAAATTATCAAAAAGGTAAAAATTTGATTCTTAAATGGATCGGTTTCAAAGTAAATACTTAGTAAACACATATCTTCTTCATAAAAAGACATTATAGGCTCTAAAGTCACAACATTTTGGAGAATTCAAAAAACGATAATTTTGTGCATTTTTCTGCCTTAAAGGTTTAGTAAAATTTTGACCGCATTAACCTACAATTAAATATTATTCTGTAACCGAAAGGTGCCAATGCCTTTATTAGATCGGGGTTAACCTTAAAAGGCGCTTCATTCTAAAAATGTGCGCACGGTCAACGCTTTTACAACCCTATAAAATTACTAAAAGAAGCATTCAATACTTATAACTACATTTTTTTGCTAGGATCATGAAAACACGATTTCTATCAAATTTTTCTTTTATTTACCTGTGCACTTTATTGTGGTAGCTCGGGTCATCATGAATGTTACATTTCATTTTGAAATGAAGGTTAATTTCAGAATGACGCGATATTGCTGTTAGCCAATCAAAATAACGTATTATAATAAAACATACATTTAATGTAATTATATACGATTTAATACCTAGTTATAAGTATAAACAGTATAGAGATAGGAACAGTGCATTACCTTGATAATCAGATGCTTCGTGTTCTTTAAATCTTGCTTTCACATCCAGAATTTCGTCTTCAACGTCATCTGTATCTCTGATGCGTCGCAAAATTTCTCTCGCTTGATCATCTTTCCTCTTACTCAGAAGCCAACGCGGACTCTCGGGTAAAAACAGAAAACCGACAAACTGTATTGCAGAAGGAATTCCGGCAATACCAAGCATGTATCTGAAATAAAAAAAAAGTATGTGAATCGTTCTGTTGTGTCTTAACTATCACGAGAAAAGACAAAATATTGGAAGATTCATGGATCAAGGGATAATTTAATAATTTTATCACTGTTGCTACATGTATATGACCTGGTTTGAGAGTCTGAAAATACGCGTTCAAATCAGCAGCTGTAAACGTGCATCTTACTCAGTTTGAGATAGAGGCACAACTATATATTGTAGAAATAATTTAAATGTACATGTATTTATACCACATAATTAATTGAACAAATTTGATATTGAATTTTTCGTTAGTCAAACAAAAAATCTTGAACGTCATCCAATGTCCATTGCCTTAAATGTACATGTATTTATACAACATAATTAATTGCTAAGTAAATAAATAATTTAATAGATTTCTTTTGACACCAAGAAAAAAGAAAAACAATATCCTCTATACTGTAATAATTGTGGTGACTTCAATGAAGATCATATGTTGTGGTCGGTTTAACAAGTATTAGAAAAGCTTTCATATTTTAAACAAGATGACCTCCCCAACCCACAAAATAATAAAAAAAATAATAGAAATAAATGAAAACAAATATAAGGAGAACTTATGTTTTCACAATATGTTTAGAAATTTTCGTAAGTCAAACAAAAAATCTTGAACGTCATCCAATGTTTTATGCAGCAAAATTAAACGTACAATGAGCTGCAAAGTTTTTTTTTTTTATATCTGCATCCGATTTCACCTAGATAGATGGATGCCCTTTGAAGCTCATTTGTCTGGCGAAATATTGCGTTTATTTTTATTGCATTGTAAATACTTTAATATTTACATACAAAGTTGATATATATAAAAAATGATTGTTTTAAGTTAAAAAAAGAACATTTCTTCACGAATGAAACAATCAACATAATTTAACTTATAGTTTATAGCAAAACAGTTACTTTCATGCTGATAAGAGATTAAGAGGGTTAACTTGTCTATGCCTTATCGAATACAAGTAAACTATTGATGCATATCATTTCTTCCATGCTTTTGTAAAATTGCTATTCATTCCCCGTTTGTTCTATCATTTCGCAGTCAGAATGTAGTCTTTTAAAAATTAATAACATAGTTTGTATATTATACGGAATATATGTGTTCAAAAAAATATTTTATTTACAATTCTAAACAGACATGGGCTTTCATTTTTGCGTTTATCGTGATGTTTCTTATACGTTTGCTTCTACCTTTTGTTCGACCTTCTTTGAATGTGTGGGTACCTTTGATATAGAAGACCACGAAGAGTGTACTGCCAATGTCCTATAGGTATCCAAATCGAAACAAAATAGTAGTTTTTCGAGGAATGCCTCAAATATGTGCATATTGTAGATTTTGCCAAACTATATAGATATTAAATATGTTTCAAACCTCCATCCATTTCTTTTATCATAGCTAAAAGCACCATCAATTACACTTGCTATGAATTGTCCACAAGTAATAGATGCATTATTCAGTGCAACCAATCTTCCTCTCATATGAGCTGGTGCACATTCCGCTATATACACTGGAACAGTCATTGAAGTTATACCTGTTAAAAATTAAATACAGTATGAACAAGAATGTGTCCATAGTACACGAATGCCCCACTCGCACTATCATTTTCTATGTTCAGTGGACCGTGAAATTGGGGTCAAAACTCTAATTTGGCATTAAAATTAGAAAGATCATATCATAGGAAACATGTGTATTAAGTTTCAAGTTGATTGGACTCCAACTTCATCAAAAACTACCTTCACCAAAAACTTTAACCTGAAGCGGGACAGACGGACGAACGAACGAACGGACGCACAGATCAGAAAACATAATGCCCCTACTACTACCGTAGGTGGGGCATAAAAAGTCAATTCATTTTTCTCCTAATACACTTGTACCTCCACTGACTAGTGGAACACAACTTCTCTTATATGGGTGCTGCTTATTCCTTATTCGGTCAGTTTGTTAATAGATTTGTTATGCAGTCCACCCAAGTTATTTGCCCTAATCATACGTTTTTTCCTCCTAAGTTATCTAACATATATATTGATGTGTCCGTCGTTGTCTAAAAAATTGGTGTTGTTTTTGTAGTATGCAGTGAGATTGTGACATTAGTTTTATTCTTTCTACAACTTTCCTTTGCCAACAAAGATTTCGATGCCATAAATTTAGGTAATGATTCATCATAAATCAGTTCAATTGAAAAACCTCCCTTCTTTAAATATCAGCCTGTACCTATCATCTATCATATCTTATACTTTTACCAAGAACAAAAATTTTCAATTACAGATTAAACTTATGTTGCAGGATTTCAATTTTTACGACTGCAAGTCTAAACCTCCCTACTGCACTTGTGCTAGTTTCCGTTCATATATAATACGGTAGGCCAAGTTATTACTGGTGACCTGAACATTATAGGATTAAACACTTTTTTCTAGAGGTTATTGATGTGTAAACCGGGGCGATTAACTCACAAACTGAATAAAAGTCCTCGGACAGTTTGTGAGTTAATCGCCCCGGTTTACACATCAATATAACCTCTAGAAAAAAATGTGTTTAATCCTTATTATTCTTAAGCCAAACATTCGCGATTTTTAATTAACAATTGTTTGTTTAATGGCTACTATTCACCATCAAATGCACAATTGACATGTCGTAACTAAGGAGTTAGCAGCCATATTGACTTTCTAAAATTCGTAAATGTTCGATAAATGCAACAGAATCTAAAATGGAATAGCAACTACCTCAAACACTTCATTTTATTGAGATATTATCCGAATTTGAAGCGTACAAGTAACCACTGCAAAAGTCAAAAAGTCTGAAAAGACCAATTTTTGTCTGAATTTGCATAAATTTTTACTCGACATTCTTTCTTTGTCTGAATTATTTTTAAAAATTCTTAACATATAATGAATTTGTCTAATAAGGTTCTTGATTTTTCTTGACAAGTGTCTTGACAGTATTAAAATTGTCTAAAAATTTCTCAACACTTTCTGTATCATCTGATAAGAGTCTTGATTAGTCTCGACCAATTCTTGACTGTCTTAAATTTGTCTCGATCAGTCTTGACATATTCTTGACATTCTTAATAATGTCTAAATATGTCTTGACACATTCTTGAGTCTTAAAGCTGTCTGAATATATCTCGACACATTCTTGACGGTCTCAAAGATGTCTTGACACTATCTCAACAGTATAAATTTCGCTTGAATTGTGTATAGACACATTCTGCACTATTTAAATACTTTCGTTTGCTGTTTGACAGTTATATACTCATTTTTATTATCGCTAAACTAAACTTAGAAGAATCAAGGATTTGTATAGTAAGATACCCTTTGTGTGCACCTATGTGGAAAACCCCGAATGACTTCCCCCCCCCCCCCCCCCCCATGTAGTTTAATTTTGATTTATTTTTTATTAAACGTTTAATTAAATTGTTTTCACTTGGAATATATGTCGAAGTTACTGACAAACAGCATTTGAGATTTTTGCCGGTCAAAAAACTGCCAGTCAAATTTGCTTAACTAAAATGGGTGACTTGAGGCAGTTTTAAAATGTGACCATGTGTCTCTTTTGAACCCCACCATTCATCTTGTGCGTGTGTGTGTGGCTAAAAAAAAAAGGGGGGGGCTTACGTTTGGGACCAAGAATTTGTTCCCATCTTGATTCAAAAACTTATTCATTTTATTTTAGAACAAGCAAAAACATTTTTTATTCAAAATTGAGTGTTGAATTTCATAATTTTTTATCAAAACTAAATATTTGTTATACTTCCCTCCTGATTTTTTTCTCAAGAAATCATAGAACAAAATAAATGTTTAGATCTTAATTGTGTGTGTCTGTTTGAGATCCATTTCATAAGACCAATGATTTCTAGAGAAATCATTGATGGGACCCTTTATAAATACAGTTTTCTATTATTCCTGGAGTAGATAATAGTTTTCTTTTAATCTTTGGGAAATTATCAAATTTGTTTTTATGTTAAATTATTTCACTTCATTATTTTTGATGAAGAAAATCCATTTTAATTCATTTTTTTTTAATTAAAATGATGATTTTCATCTATCAACAAACTTTTTAAATGGTAGTGGCATGGTCAGTCAACTGATAAGTTGCATTGATGATTACAGGTAAAGCAGTAATTTTCAATATGACAGTCGCGTGTACCCTGGGGTGTGTATAACTTATTTGGAATACCTTAATTGTATGGGGAACATCCTGTCCACGTGTAATACTTAATATATATTGCAACAGATGACATTACACAAATTTCTTCTGTTAAATCAAGGATTTGTACAGTAAGACTATACAAATCCTTGGAAAAATTAGGATACAATAATACTTTGCTATTTATAAAAACCACATTTTGGTACAATTATTGTTTATTTACCCTATTAACATTGAATATTATGCATGTAGAATGAAATATGTCTACAGTATGATTGGTTTTAATTAATCATTTAGCAATTATTTATAAGATTTAGGAATCAACATTTGTAATTATTTACAAACCCACATTTGAATTGGTTTTTATCAACATTGTATTGTTAATACTTTAAATTTCATAGCCATATTTGTATTTATAAAAATATTTATATACCAAAATTTTCAATTATTTTACATGCCCAAGTTTTGTTTTTGTTGTAACTGTAACAAGTGTAACTGAAACAACAGTATATTATATAAAGAGAAATAACGATAAAGTTATATCATGTATATTGGTCATGATTTTTTAACTCAGAATTGTCAAGTAAATTTAAGGCACAATTCAAAATGTTCAGAATATGTCAAGCCATACTGAGAAAAAATAAGAATGTCGAGAATCTGTCGAGAAATTTCAAGACAGTATTCAAATGTCAAGAATTTGTCAAGAAATTTTAAGACCATATTCAGAATGTCGAGAATTTGTCGAGTAAATTTCATACAAATTTAATATAAATGAGAATTTGTCAAGAAAAATTAAGACACAAGTCAAACATTTGGAGAATGTCGAGTAATTGTTCATGCAAATCAAGACAAAAATTGGTCTTTTCAGACTTTTGGACTTTTGTAGTGTTAACGGAGATTTGATCCATTGCGCATGAATACATCACAGTCGGAAGGTTATGAAAGTAGTTTCGGAAACATGGTTTATCGAAGTGTAAACCAAGGGAAAAAATTCTAACTGACCAATCCGTTTCAAGTATTTATAGATATGCAAATCATATAAGAATTATTGCCAAAATAACACTTCTCTGCAAAATGTGTTATCTAGAGGCCCAAAATACGGTTATCCTAAATCCATCTGTTGGAAACACTACTTTATAATCCTGATGGAATCAGTCGAACTTTACGCCAGACAATAGTTTCTATGCGAAAAAGAAGACGTAGATACTATTTCCGAATGTGAGATCGTTGATACAAATTTGAATTATAAAACTGAATGGTCGACGAACACTTATGCTAATCGATGTTCAAAGGCCTAACTGTTGCTAAGCACCTGTCCTACCACCATGAAATATATGTTGATTCACCTGCAGATAAAGTCGTTAGATTTTTTGTGAAAAGAGCCCCCATCCACATCCCCACCCCCTAGATCATCCTTCACTGTATTGGATACCTAAGTTACATATTTGATCTTACAAACAATGTTATATTGCTGGGTCCGTCATGTGCTCCACGAAACCTCTGTCCAAACTATTAACATCAAGTTATCAGCCTACCAGTTAAATAAATTTAACATATTATAATAATGTATACAAATCGTTATCCATATACTGCGCAACACTTTTATGGACATGACTATATACATTTAATTTAGAGATAATTTAGAGATATGTATATTCACGGTAAAGTAAAGCATAAATAATAACAATAATTACATTAAAAAATTACTCAATACCTTTTAGCATTGGCCAATATATTTCATACTTGCGAACCTCTGACAATGAGAAATCATGTCATGACATGACATGACATGTCAAAAAGTGTGTGAAAACGTGCGACGAAGATGCGGACTTTTTTATATGAACAATGTTCATAATTTCACATTATCATGATTATACAAATTTGTTAATATATAATAACTAGAGGCTCTAAAGAGCCTGTGTCGCTCACCTTGGTCTATGTGCATATTAAACAAAGTACACAGATGGATTCATGACAAAATTGTGTTTTGGTGATGGTGATGTGTTTGTAGATCTTACTTTACAGAACATTCTTGCTCCTTACTATTATCTCTATCTATAATGAACTTGGCCCGGTAGTTACAGTGGAAAATATCTTGTAAAAATTTACAAAAATTTACAAAATTTATGAAAATTGTAAAAAATTGACTATAAAGGGCAATAACTCCTTAAGGGGTCAATTGACCATTTTGGTCATGTTGACTTATTTGTAGATCTAACTTTGCTGAACATTATTGCTGTTTACAGTTTATCTCTATCTATAATAATATTCAAGATAACCAAAAACTGCAAAATTTCCTTAAAATTACAAATTCAGGGGCAGCAACCCAACAACGGGTTGTCTGATTCATCTGAAAATTTCAGGGCAGATAGATCTTGACCTGATAAACAATTTTACCCCCATGTCAGATTTGCTCTAAATGCTTTGGTGTCAGAGATATAAGCCAAAATCTACATTTTACCCCTATGTTCTTTTTTTAGCCATGGCGGCCATCTTGGTTGGTTGGCCGGGTCACCGGACACATTTTTTAAACTAGATACCCCAATGAAGATTGTGGCCAATTTTGGTCAAATTTGGCCCAGTAGTTTCAGAGGAGAAGATTTTTGTAAAAGTTAACGACGACGGACGCCAAGTGATGAGAAAAGCTCACTTGGCCCTTTGGGCCAGGTGAGCT